GACAAAAAAATCCATTTTAAGAGACACATTTGACATTTAGCGACACAATTCCATAGATTGTAATCCATTACTTTCAGCTGGAGTTAAATATTCCCGACACATTCTGCCACGAGCTCTAGTGGGAGACCTTTAATCAACTTCTGGACAGCCACTTTGGGAATTTTTCACGTCCTTGAATGAAAAAACAATTCTCTGTTCATGACCTCCCTCCACTTGTAACTTCTATATTCTTGTTTTTTCTGTCCTTAACATTTTTATATGTGACAGCTTCTGTCCTGGAGCTCACATTCTTCTGCAACATACATTACACTCAAAAATTTTTAATAAAATAGACACAGTCAGAGGCTACACCTGCATGCATCAGTAATACTTATAGACATGGACTAGTTCATTCAACCTTATTTCTACAGGTTAGTCTCACTGAGTCTCGAAGACTGTAGATGAACAGATGCTCAGATATATTCATCAATTAACACGGATTCCTCATTTTTCTGGACTGAATAAAACGTGCATTGAATTTAATGAAATGCAAACGTGAGACGTCATTTATCTTTGACCCATCAAAATGAATGCGGTCATTTATTTACAGAATCAAAGTTTAACATCAAACATTTACATTAATTTGGCAAATTATGAAAATAACAACAAAAGCAATCAATCAGGAAAAATCATACGGCCATGATTTTTCCGTTGCTTCACCACAGACATTTATGAAAACTGTACAATTATGATCTTTTTATCCACACGGCGGTGGATGAGCACTTTACACAGACATTTCTAAAATATCTGGAAGAATTTCTACTTGAGAGAAGAATTTAAAGATGGGAAGGAAGTTTAAAGGAGAGTAAAAGATGGTGTTTGAGGGAGAGTGTTGAACAGAACGGCACTCTCCGGGCTTTCTTCAGCTTCTTCCTTACAGTACACTTAGGTGGTGAAATCGACTCTTTTACCTGGAGATGTCTCAGGCGAGATTCCGTTTAACGCACCCTTTCAGCGTCTCCGTAGGATGCTGTTACTCGTCCGAAGTAATGGCGAGACTGTCCGACACAAGCTCACCTCAGTGGACAATGTTATAATCCCATGAAACTCGGAAGAGCCTTATCATGCTGGACTGCTGATCTCCCAACAGAACCCCTCAGAACTGGGCTTCTCCGCGCAGAACTGAACTCACTTCAACTCTCACAGAACTCACAGAACTGTGTAGACCAGGAAGTACCGACATTTTAAAGAGCTCTTTTCCCGGTTCATTCGGGAGTCTTCCCATTGGTCAGAACCGACCAGACGGGGGTGTGTTTTGTGACGTAAGAGGTTAGAAGACAGCAAGAATTGTTATGGAACAGATCAGAAATGTTCTCACAGACAGAGAGAGTTTTGTTTTGGCGAGTTTGAAAAACAGGTGCCAGAACCCCCCTGTTGACGTCTGAGAGGATGTAAACAAGACAGTTGTTCCAACACATGTCTGCTTCGACTCCTGACCCTGGAACGCACACTTGCTCATTCAAAGACAGAAATCAGAAAATGCATAATTACTCTGTAACAGCTCTAACATGAATTCTAACTTTGCATGAGAAATAAAAATCATTATCACTGTTCTACAGTTAATAAAATTGATTAGTTCACTGCAACATCTAAAATGGTTTGAACTAAGGCACTTTGATTATCAACATTTGTAAAATAGTAATGATAATAGAACAGAGAGTGTTCTTCCACTTGAATTTTCAAGAAAGAAAGTCTCAGGATGGGTGAACCTGTATTTCTGGATTCAAATCAATGAAATGACAGTTTCTGTCCCACAAGGTTCTTAAGGTCAAGAGTTTTGACCTTAGGCTTAGTCTTGACATCAGGTTAAGTTCACTACAAGACTCATTTACAAGAGAGACCTGATTTAAACAAAGAACACACATGAGGTACAGACAACAATAAACAATATAAAATGAAAAGTAAGTAGAAGAATTGATATAAAAATGAAACAAACAGCTTGCTTGAACACCTCACTTCAGCATTCAGTGACCCTGTTATTTATTGTGTTTGACTCATTTGTCACGAACATTTTGATCAAGGTCCATTCACACATTTCTGATATTTATTAGTTGCTTACAACATTTACTTAAAGGTTGCCTGTGATATGAACGTCTGTGGTTCTGTGTTGACATGTGTTCATGTGCAACTGTTCAAGTTTCATGTGCATACCAGCCACAAATAGGTTTCCAGGTGGGCCTGACTTAAAGCGGGCGGACCACCAGATTTAACACAACTTACAAAATAGAATCTGGAACAAAGATGACGTGTGTGTTGACCCATAAAACAACAGAGGCAGGAACTTGTGACTGTTACAATAAAACGTTAATGAGGTTTATGTCAAAACAAATTATTTATTTGAAAGAGCTTACATCAAGTTTTTAAGTGTGCCGGTGATCGTAGCAGCCAGGTTTAGTAGAGTTCAGTTTGGGCCATCTTGTTTTCTGTCCCCTGGACACATTCGGCTTGTTTTAGCGCATTGATACGACCACTTCCTAAACCTGACATGAGCTGGAGCACAGGAAGAGCTGCAGTGAAAACTACTGAGTTCAACAGTGGAGATAATCTGTCTTATAATCCATAGAGGACAGAGGGGACCAGAACAGAAAACTAAACAAACACACAAATAGAAAAAGTAAAAAAAACAGGACATTTTCACCAATATAATGTGACTTTAATTAAACAATTCTGAGGCTTCTATGCCTGCAACTGTGCTGGGTCAGAGGATAAAACAGTGCTCCAAAAACTGAATGTTTGTGGGTTTGAAACCCACCTGGACCTTCTATTCAATTCAATTCAATTCAAAAATACTTTATTAATCCCAGAGGGAAATTATTTGTTGTAGTAACTCATTATCCTCATTTCATTAAGAGATGTTATAGATACTTATGCTGTAGACAGGAAGGATCTCTTGTAAAGGTCCATCCCACAGTGGATCCTAAGAAACTGGCTGCAGATGCCGTCTGATCCATCCACCCAGACTCGGCTGGCCTCTCAGTTCCTCCGGTCTGTAGGATCGCCCGAATGCCGGGCAGAACTCCTCCCAGAGCGATGGCCACTCACCCAACAGTCTGCTGAGCTCCTCGTTGCTGCGGACAGTCAACTGTAGGTGCTGAGGGACGATCCTGTCCTTCCGCTGTCATGAGCCGTGTTTCCTGCTAGTTCCAGGTTCTCAGTGGTCAGGCACTCGAGCACAGCCGGCAGGTAGATGAGAATGCATCCACAGAACATCCTTTTCAACTCATTTGAGATTTGGGGCTGTAGTTGAGATATTATTTGAGCTTTTGAGATGTTAATCAGCTGCTGTTGGTTGTAGAAAACTGCCTTGTTGCCATGGTTACGCATCATAACAAATGTCCAAGACTTAAAAAGTTTCAGTAAAAATCCTTCCAGCTGCACAGCGTCTGATACCAAGGAAACAATCATCCAAAAAATTGTGATTTACATCCAGAAAAGAGGAATTAAAGTTTCCAAAAGCAAAATCTCAAATGAAAGTAACAGAGCTGCTCCAACATGCAGCCACCTGGAGCGGCGCAATTCTAGAAGGATTTGAATCGGTGATCATGAGTTACTTCAATGACTCTCATCTTGAGCAAGAATGAAGGCGACAGTGGGAAGGAAAAACTCCCTCAACCGTAAAACTTCAGATCTTGTTGCCAGGTGTTCCAGGTTACAGGAGCAGAGTAGAAGGCCTTTTTACCAAGTTCAGTTGGTACTGAGGGAACACTGCATGTAATGATGGCCTGAGAGCGCACGCTGTAACTGCACTGACGACGTGACATGTAGGAGGAGATGTATGAAGACAACAGACCAAGAAGTGATTTAAACATGAAAATGTACCAGTGAGAGAGTCTGTGTGAACTTAATGATGACCAGTTAACCAGTACAGGGTGCAGTGATGTACGGTATATTTACAGCCAGTTAGGAATCTTGGCGCACCACGATCGACAGCATCCAACATCTGTAAGGAGCTGGCATATTCATGTACATGATGTCACTGTAGTCAATGGAGGGAAGGAAAGTCACAGTTACAAGATGTTTCCTAGCGTTCAGAGTCAGACAGGATCTATTTCTAAAAAAGAAACCCAGTTTAACTTCCTTATCAAGTTTTCAACACGAGGCTTAAAAAGAGAGTTGTGCGTCAGCCAAAAATTCCCAAGTATTTGTAAGAATCCACAAACTCAATAGGAACACCATGTGGATAATAAGATAGAAGGAAGGACTGCTGGTGACTTTGTGTTTGAAAACAACATCCCTTTGGTTTTATCAGCATTTGAAACCAGTTTGAGATGGAACAAGCCTGACTGGATGTCGAATGCAGACTGTAGAAGCTGGAAACCTTGGCAACTGCTTAAGCTCGACAATAAACAACTGTATCGTCGGCATAGAAATGTCAATTTGTAGACACACGCAGGCACGCACGTGTGTGTTTGTTTCAGGTTACCTTGTAGGGACCAATATTACTGTGGGAACCAGCTGCTCTTTATGGGGACCAAAATCAGGTCCCTGTTAGGAGAAGTCTCGTTGGGGGGTTAGAGGTTAAGTTTAGAATAAGGGACATATATCATTTATTTTTACAGAAAATGTAGCACAATTTGTAAAACTCTGTGTGGTAAGTGATCCAGGGAATTAATGTTCGCTCCACTAATAATATTTTAACTTCGGAGTCTCCACTGGCAAAGAGGAACTTGAAGAAATGTGGTTCACAGGAAGCCGATGAGGTAGTGCAAATACTATAACTTGCTCATGACGTCATCAAGCGCCGCAGACAGCTCTGATTCGCCTCGGCTGGTGATTGACAGCGCTCTTTAGTCTGCTCAACCAATGAGTGAGGCCGGGGGGCGGGCACTATTCTGCTGTAATCAATCCTCAGATCAGCGCGTGAGCCTGTCTCGCACTGCCTGCGTTCTGGTTCGTGGTTGCACGAGAGCAACAGCAGCTCGTGCGTTTCACTCAGCACAGAAGGAGGAAGAGGAGAGGACATGGGGGAAAGATTCGTGGTGGTTCCAGTGGACGCTGGGGGGGCCGCCAGAGTTGGGGGGGACTTGGACCCGGACACAGGCGGCGTCAGCGACACAGACGAGGTGGAGGAGCCCTTATCTGTGCACGAGCCCCAGGAGCGCGAGTCGGTGGTGCCCATTCTGAAGTACAGCAGGGAGCCCAATAAGTACGGTAGGACATCTGTCCCAGTGTCCCACTGTGGGTCCACCTCACACACCATTAAAAAGAAAATCCCACTCGGTCAGGTTTTATATAGTTTAGTTTATTAAGTCCAAATCAGAAAAAGTTGTACATAACCTGACCTGTAAGTGACCTTTAGTGGAAGATGGGCTGCATGAACTTCCTATTTATTATTTTTATTCTGTTGTGAAAGTAAAGGACAGAGGAATGAGACGACCAGACTGATGGAAACCCCATGTGTCCATGTTTCTGTTGTTCCTCCAATCAACAACACAGCTCGTCCTGCAGTCAGAGCTGTGAGCTGCAAGAAACTTTCTACTTGTGCATTTAATTACACGTCTACGTTCAATTCAACTTTATATTTGTTTCCTGCTCCTCCTCTGTGCAATAAATTGTAAGTTTTAGCTTTTGTCAGATAAATCCTGCAGTGACGTGTTATTTCCAGTAGTTTTTGAGTTTTTCTTCAGTAGTTAGTTGTAAATAAGAAGCTTTTGTCTATGAACGCTGCAGAAGTTCAGTAGATTATTTATTTTTTGTCCTCTGGATGACATTGAAGTACGTTGAGCTCATAAACAACATGTGAACAGTTAAACACAGAACAAATCGCTCAAAACAGCAACAATTAAATAAAATAAAACACACTATGTGATTTATGAAAGCTAAGAAAGGAGTAATTAGTATCACTGTTTGTTTTTGGGTTTTCTACATCTGGTTCACACATGGGCTCTGGTAGAAATGTTACCTCAGCGAGAAGGTCCCTGGTTCAAATCCCAGCCAAGTGCCTTTCTGGGTGGAGTTTGCATGTTCTCTCCGTGCTGCGTGGGTTTTCTCCAGGTGCTCCAGTTTTCTCCCACAGACCAAAAACATGCATGTTAGACTGATTGGTAACTAAATTATTCCTAGGTGTGAGTGAGAGAGTGAATGGTTCTCTTGTTTGTCTTTATGTGTCCCTGTGACGGATGGGACACCTGTCCAGGGTGTCCCCCGCCTCTTGTACAGTGACTGGTGGACATGGGCACCAGTGACCCCTGCGACCTGAAAAGAAAGAAGCGGATGAACGGATTGTTGGAATGTTGGTTGGATTGTTAGATACATGGTTGGTTGATTGTTGAATTGATGGATGGATGGATGGATGGTTGGTTGGATGGTTGGTTGATTGTTGGATGGATGAATGGATGGATGATGGATAGTTGGTTGGTTAGATGGTTGGTTGGATGGATGGATGTTGATTAATTGTTGGATGGATGGTTGGTCGTATGGATGGATGGATGGTTGGTTGGATGGATAGATGAATGGCTAGTTGGTTGGTTGGATGGATGGACAATGGATGGATTATGTATGTATGTATGTATGGTTGGTTGGTTGGTTAGATGATGGATGGTTGGTTGGTTGGTTGATTGGTTGGTTGGTTAGATGGATGGATGTTTGGTTGGTTGGTTGGATGGATGGATGATTAATGGATGGGTGGTTGGATGGATGGATGGATGGTTGGTTGGATGGATGGTTGGTTGGTTGGATGGATGGATGGATGGTTGGTTGGTTGGTTGGATGGATGGATGGTTGGTTGGATGGATGGTTGGTTGGATGTATGTATGATGGATGTATGATGTATGGACGGTTGGATGGATGTTGGTTGGTTGGATGGATAGATGATGGATGGATGGATGGTTACTTGGATGTATGTATGATGGATGGATGGATCATTTGAACAGTCCTGCTCCATAATGTACAATCTTTCAAACAGTTCAGACCTGACTAAACGAAACAGTTCAGACCTGACTAAACGAAACAGTTCAGACCTGACTAAACGAATCAGTTCAGACCTGACTAACCAAATCAGTTCAGACCTGACTAAACGAAACAGTTCAGACCTGACTAAACGAAACAGTTCAGACCTGACTAAACGAATCAGTTCAGACCTGACTAAACGAAACAGTTCAGACCTGACTAAAC